TGCACTCCAGTCTGGGTGACAGAGTGAAACTCCAACTAAAAAAAAAAAAATGTATACTTTTTCTTCTTTTTTTTTTTTTTTTTTTTTGGCATTGTCCCCCCACCCCATGTATTTTATTCTTCTGAGAGAGTCATATAATTCCATTTCCAGAATAGCTTTCTGATTTTTGAAATATAAATGGGTCAGACTTTGCTATTCAGCATGAAAGCTAAACATGCAACAGAGGACTTGCCAAAGGCCTGGCTGTGACATGTTCTTCATTAACAACTGACTGAACCTCAGAGCCAAGAAAATCCTGGCTTCGTTGTGGTGGGAGTTATTGGTGTGATGGTGTTTTGTAGGTCTTCTCCGTTTATCATGGCCTTGAGTGAATCCAGTTATGAGCATTTGTCCTCATCACTTGGAGTCAGTGTTCTGTACCTTAGGAACTTGAAATGGTGGAGGGCCAATCGATCACTGGAAGGGGCTCATCAAAGCCCTCTCCTGATGGGGCTGCAGTTGGGGTCCCTCTCTGAATTTGAAAAGGCCTTTGGACTGATCTTGCCTAATTTGCTGATTTCTGAAATGAAGAAACGGACCCCGCAGATAAATATTTTTAACATTCCATGGCCACAGACTGTACCCCCTCATGACTGGTTACCTTGTAGCTATGTGTTTACTATTTCTCAGGAGAAAAACTAGTAAAGATCTGACTTTTAAAGTCTCAAATTGTATCTCTCTCGTGCAGTGGCACACTCATAACCATCGGTGCCTCCACCTGCCGGGTTCGGGTGATCCTTCCACTTCAGCCTTCTAAGCTGGAACTATAGGCATGTATCACCATGCCCAGTTAATTTTTTGATTTATTGCAGAGATGAGTCTCATCATGTTGCCCAGACTGGCCTCGAACCTGTGGGCTCAGGCAATCCTCTCGCCTCCCAAAGTGCTGAGATTACAGGTGTGAGCTACTGCGCCCGGCTTCAAATTGTATCTCCTGAAGTACGGTTGTGGCTGGGTACATTCTGTTCCCTTTGGAAGTAAAGAGAAAGCATAGAAGTGGAGTCATTATCAGGCTGCATGGAACAAATGGAATGGTGATATTTTAAGCAGTGAACAGTGAGAACAGCTTGTACTAGAATGATGGTTGAAAGCAAGTATTGCAAGGGCACATGGAGACACAGCACATAATACCTAAGAAAGAGGTTACCCTTAGGCCCAGGATTCAAGTTAAACATGCTGTAGGCATCTACATGCGAGCCCTTAGATGGGATTTCACATTCTATAGACTATGTGTGTGTAAAATTCGTAATGGAGGTAGTGATGGGCTGAGAAAGAGCATATTCGAGTCCTTGCCACATTTCTGGCAGTGCCTTTTGAGTACTGGCATCATTGTGACCAGGCCAAGAGTTGGAGAAGCTTTATTTTGGAGAGTCTGGGCAGGAACATCTTATTTCCCACACTGCCTTATCAACAGAAGGTGATCAGCAAATATTTAATGGAATTTGACAATTTGGTGAATGTAGAATATTTACAAATATATAACTATTCCAGAGAAGGTGATGAGCAAATATTTAATGGAATTTGACCATATGG